ACGAACGCCCGGCGTTAATTTGCATACCGAATTGTTTCTGCTGAAAGGCTACGGGTTCTGAAAAAAACTTTTAGCGCCGATACTTTCGTTACGTTTGCTCATTAGACGCGGTTACGGCGAGCCATTGTATCGTAAAAAAAGCTCACTGCTCGCTATTTGTTCGCAATTAAGTTTTCCATTTATTACGGAAACACTATTTCATTCAATTTAAGGCTCGGTAGTAGCGTTTGTGGTCAGCATTACCTCTCAGAATTTTCTGTTCGAGTTCAGAAAGAGGTTAAACTCGTTACCAAGAGGTCTTACGAAATTAAATTAATGTAAACAATGATATTAATTTTTTCTTTTATCGTTAAAAAGTTCACTAGTTGGGGAATAATGGGAACATAAAGAATGCAGAGGTCACGAACAGTAAAATTAATTTATTGCGCAGCCTGCGATCGAAATCCAAGCATCACGAGCAGATGTCTAATTAGAATGAAATTGGAAACGAATTATTCGTGAGATAACGAAAACCAAGAACCCGTCATGGTACCGAGCGCAACGGAAACGTTGCGAAATTCAGTTTCAATTATACAGCGTGAAGCACCGATAACCACGCAGGTGTAAACGCACTGCATACCTTCTGCGTCTCGTTTCGTAATTCTCAACACACTTTAAACGTTTTAATGCTGTAGTTGCTGTCGTATTTATGCTACCAGTTTACAATCGTTCTTTTAAAAAAAACCCCCAACAGGTTCGTTAAGACCTACCTTTGAAATATCCGTTTTAAACGTTTATTATAACTCACTTTGTTACGTGGCGTTGGTCGAGTTTATTCTCGTTGCAATTATACGGTTTTCAATATAATTTATCTTAAATTGATTTTTATAAAACTTGGGAGTGTAATATTTATTGATTTCAATTCTTTGCTCGAAGGTACCTTGAATCCCTGATTTTCTTTTCGAAGTTGACAATTATAATTTCAAATTAAAAGAGTGTGTTAAACTCCTATACATAAAACGCCATTGTTTTTAGGTCGAAGCGAAAGCGCAAAGCGTTTTTAACAAAACAGTTTTCGTTGCCATTCGTGCCAAGACTGTTTGCAAGGCCCCCGTTCCATTCGTACAGAATCCTGGATTTTTGCATCGCCATGAATTTTAAAAGCAGGCAAAATGGCATTCGATGAAGCATAAATTTCATATACGAGGTCACCCGTTTCTTGTGGAACGAAATTTGTAGCCTAGTATCGTCACGAATAAGGTAAGAATCTGTTTGCTAAGCGATGCTGGTTCTTGCTGCGTCGACAGCGGAATACAAGTGGCGTTTTATTTCATGTTACTGGATGTTGTATCGCAGGATTATTTAAGGAGTGAATATTTTATATGCTGCGGCCGGATAGTATACGGTTTTATAATTTCTTTAACGACGAGACGTCGAGGGACTCGAGCCTCGTTGTATCCGTTGCTAGGGAAAAGATGAGAGAGATCGATGGTACGACTTCGCGAAAACGATGAAAATACCTCGTGTCGTTCGTTTTCATCGATGGGGCCCCTATTGATTCCGTGTACATCGATACGCGAGTGTTTGTTATCCACAAAAGGCCAGGTAAACTTGTTCTTCCATTTGCACAACGTCGGCCGGTTGCTAGGTTAAACGAGCTATTAAGTTGCACGAACGCGATTGGCGAATAAAGGCCTGATTTTATCGGATTCAATTGGCGATCAGGCTGTGTGGCTTCTGAATAACACGGCGGTAACACTAGCTGTCTTTTGTTCTACGCCGTACAAGGAAATTTACAAGATTTATCCATGCTTCTTATTCGTTTGCAATTAACGGTAGGAGCGACCCGTCGAAATTAGATTTCTACCTGGAAGTTAACGATGCTATTAATTTTGTACTCACTGACTATCGATAGTGGACAATTCTTGCACATTTCTAGAAAAGGAGTATTGATTTATCGAAGAAATAATGCAACAGTTTCACGTTTAGAACTAAAGAAAAACAACAGCGAAATTTTGCAGAAAAAGCAAAACGTTTCTTAAAATAAAAGTAGATCGATTGCTGTCGCGCCAGTTGTGATTACGACCATTAAGATGCACTTACTCCATATTTGTGCCAACTTTCGTGAAGATTGGCTCATCGAGCTTTTAGAGACGCCAAGTAGGAAATAGTATTGTGAAAAATGGCGTTGACCTATGATATTTCTTTAACTTTTGATTTATCAAATCGAAAATTTAATTACGAATACTTTTTTAGCATTTCTAACGGTTTCAATTTATGATAGTTAAAATAACTTCGAACCTGAATATTCGGTGCCAGTATCCTTGGGAAGGTTAAAGTTAGACAACCGCAACACGCGATAGTTTTATTCGTGTTAGCAACTGTGTATACTGTAATAAAGTTTATTACTGAAATTAGTGATTAGTTTAATTACACCATCGTCTTCGTTAAACGCGAATAAAAATATCGTAAATAAATTGAACCACCTTTGGATTGCAATTAAGCGCTCCTACTTTATTATCTGTGCACGGTTTCAGCTCCCGTAATTTCGCAAACTTTTCGAAGCTCGGTATAAGGATTTAATAAACGCTAACGATAGTTCATTCAAAGGTTCAAACCCTCGGTATTAAACGCACGAGGCATACAAATAGATACGGTATTCTGATCAGGTATTCTGGGCAGCTAAACGACCGGCGAGTTGCATTGGGTCAGACTTTGCTAGGCAAAATTCCTCGACGACGTCCACATTCCATAGTTACTCACATTACCACGTCATCCATAATACCTATCTTTCCTTCTACCTGCAATACAATCGTGAATTACAGCTAAATCCGAATTTTTAAATCGATTGGTTAACCAAGAAAGCGTAGGAATTTGATATATTTTATTTTTTATTAATAAATTGTATTACCATATTACCCATGGTTGTGTATTCAAAATCAAAAACAAATTTTAAAGAGAAATAGGCTGGGGGTAGGTGCCTAACTTTTTCGGCAAAAAAAATAATTTCAAATCGTTTAAAAGAAATTATTTTTGGCAGCGGGGGACAATTACAATCATTTTTGGTCATTAGACATACCCCCCAAATCCTACCCACTTTCGAGAAAAAAATTCGATTAGGTGTGACATTTTTCGGCGAAAAAAAAATTTCCATTCGTTCTGAAAAAATTATTTTTAGTTGTGGGGGTCGATTACAATCATTTTTGGTCAATAGACATATCCTCGAAATCCTATCCACTTTTGAGAAAAAAATTCGAGTAGGTGTGACATTTTTCGACGAAAAAAAAAATTTCAATTCGTTTTGGAAAAATTATTTTCAGTTGCGGAGGTCAATTACAATCATTTTTGGTCATTAGACGTACCCCCCAATTCCTACCCACTTTCGAGAAAAAAATTCGAGTAGGTGGGACATTTTTCGACGACAAAAAAAATTTCACTTCGTTCTGAAAAAATTATTTTCAGTTGCGGAGGTCAATTACAATCATTTTTGGTCATTAGACGTACCCCCGAAATCCTACTCACTTTCGAGAAAAAAATTTCTGCGAAAATCTAAGAGAAAAAGTCCATAAAAATGATCCAATTCCTCGTTTTTATCACTTCATATGTAAGTATAGTCCAATTATCCAGCCCCGAGTATGTCGGATAATCGGAATTTTACTGTACCACACAAAATTTCAGGAAGAAGCGATGAGAAATGCACTTTTTAATCGTCTGGGGAGGCTTTTAAGAAAGAAAAGAAAGCACGGTAATTCGGAGCCGGGTCATTTATGCTAAAATCATAAATAGACGGCGTCTCTCGCCCAGCAGGAATTGCCCGGATGCTCTAAAATGGTCCTCCCCGAAATTTCGCCGTTTCCATGGCGCCCTCCACTGTGCACCAGGACGCGTGGGAGCTCCATAGGCGTAAATGCAGAATTTATCTGCATTCATGTTTTCACCTTGGCGTCGTCGGCTCCCCATACAGTGCCCCTAATCGTGCGGCTCCATCTGCACGGAGTTCTGTGTCCTCCGTGGCACGTACCGAACTTCGTTACTCGAAGTAATTTCCTTATCTCTCGTCGCTTGCACTTTCGAAGCGGGTAACGAACAGCAAACACCGACGGGCCTGCGACAGTTTAAATTTCGTCGCTCCGAAGAAATTGCATTCCGACGAACGGGGACGCGTGGGTGGGCATCGAGCCGGGAATCAGAAATTGTCGATCGACCGTTTGCCCTCCTTTTCCGGTTCCAAGCGTTCGATGCCACTCGCAGACCGACCCGAAACTTCTCGCCTCTTCGTTCGGGTCAATTAACGCTCCCGGCAAATTGTCTGAAATTGGATTGTCGTTCCGTCGCGTCTCTCGACTACTTCGCGAGCGTCGCGATGCCCCAGAGTCGCGACGTCGTCGAAACTTCGTCCCTTTTGGCGTCGACGCCGCGAAGGTCTTCCAGTTTAGCAAGCTGAAAGGAGCCTCCTTAATGAATTTCCTCCTCGAAACCTCTTCGAACCCTCTATGGTTATTTAACAGTATTGTTTATTTAATCTCGCCGTCCTGGGGTTCTAGGCTTTTTAAATTAGAATAGGAAATAAAGAAGTATACTTAAGTTGAGAAACACTGATCTGGAGAGCGAAATCCCCTCAATAAGAGATATCAAAACCACTTTAAAGACAGATGTTGTCGCGGTACCAACTGCATATTAATTTCGAGACTCGAATCCATTTATACAAAATTGTGTAACTTCGTAACCCTTTGATAAGGCCAAAGAACACCGTTCGTTTCTCGATCGACGAGTCTCGCGTCTCCGTTGCGTAACGAGCGCGGATTTAGGCGAACGTTATCGGTCGACAACCGCTCTCGCGGATTACTTCCGCGATTAAAAGCGATAGGATTACTTAAACGACGCTTAAATCCGGTTCGCGCGCGCGTACCGAAAGCCAATTAAACGCAGGTTTCTCATTAGCGGCGTCGAGTTAGCCGGTGTAAAATTTTATGGAATTGCGGGGAGGGGAGCTTTTATTCGACGCGACGTTGTTTATGGTCATACGTTTATTGGGAGACATTGCTCGGTGAGACGTCTATTTTCATCGTTTTACAACCGTTGACCGTGTAAGTACTGGCTACCGGGTATTTCGATGATGCTACGAGACAAGTATAAAATATAATAAATAAAGTAGTTAATTAACCTGCGGTCGTTTGATTTGCTGAGTTATTGGGGTATCGCTTAGGCTAACTGATACGCTACGGACGGCGTCGTGTCGGAGTTTTGCAAGCAGACTGTAAACGGCGTGGGAGTGGACTGATATCCCCAGTTGTAGCTGGTAGGATAATTGTTGTAAGCTTGTGGCACGACGACGTATCTGGCGTTCGACAAATAATTCGTTCCCAGTACGCTCGGTACTTGATAAACGTATTGCATTTGCTGGGCGCCGGTTTGCTGCAATGCTAAATTATTCGACATCGCGTCGTTGACGTTCTGTACGACGTAGCCGGGATTCGTGCAGCTACAAGGGTAATTTCCACTAGTCGCGTAGTTAGGCACTCCGAAAGTTGCGTGTAAACGATTCGTTGGCTCCGTGTACGTTTGCAATTTCGTGCCCACCAGCTCTTTGTCGTTGCTCGCGATGTCGTTCTTGGCATTCTGTAAACGAAGAGTTAACAATCGTCGATTATATAGAATTCATTTGGTTCTTAGAGCACGTTCACGTTAACTTAAGATTCCGTTATAAATTACACTGATTAATATTTATTCTCATTGTAATTGCGAGAGTCGGAATATTAGTAATTAGCACATCCATACTTTCTAATATGTATATACGTGCTCTAATTTTTTAAATAATTCGGTAGACAACGCAACAATTACAACGCGTATAAATATTAATAGAATTAATAAATATGTTTAAAATTTTCGTGAAAATTATCGTCTTCTTTTACTTTGTACGAAAACCGAGCCCTCGAATATTTTTTACAGTTATGAAATAATTGTACGTGTGCAACCCACCGCGTGGCAACGAAATACAGAGTGGCTCTTCGGGTGAAAATGAGTTTGTCACGTTCGATGTACATAGGCGAGCTCGAAGAGACTCTTTTTAGACTTTCTAGGATTAGCTACGAATTTGCAACTTTCTTGGAAAGAAGACTGTGTACGTACTATGGATGATCGAGATGCTAAGCGGGCCCTCGATCCGTCGTCTGTGGGTGCTTGAAGACTATCGTAATTGGATATATAATCAGACGAGTGTCTTTGTTGGTTCGCAGCGTCGTTCTGCGCCGAAATTGTAGCCTGATTTTGCGTCGGAGTTTGTTGCAACGCCACTGTTTCGACGTTTCTTTGAGACATGAACGGTGATTGTTGCATCAGAGGGCCCATCATTTGTGAACGACCGTTGTAAACTGAGATTCCCGGAATGGTTCCCATGGGATACTGTTGTGGAATCCCGGGATACATGTTCAATGGATTCAGGCCTAATAGACTACCTCTGGATGGTTGAACAGTTCTGCTTTGACGTACTTCCGCCTGTTTCTCTGTTAAAAATTATCGTATCGTTTCTCATTTAAATACTAGTAATTTGTTATATGGTCAATACCATCAGTTTGTGTAAATAGTATGGCTGATAGAACAGATTAAAAAACGTTAAAGAAAATAGAGATACTCTGCTATCGACTAGTCTCGATGTACTCGACGCAAAATTACTTCTGTTTTCCTAGTTTTTCGAGTTCTATTTTGCACAATTTCGTTATTTTACCATCAAAATTTTCCGTAGCTTCTCCGTTCTGACTTTGCAAATCAACGACCGGCGGGACATGCTCGTTTAAGGTCGACTTCGCGGCCACATCAGCTTCCTCACGTTTATCCCCCCTGCCTGCCCTAGAATCGGGTTTGTCATCGCTTGATCTTCTGTTCCGATTATGTACTGCCTGAGAAAAGTGCTAAGTTAATCGATGTTATCGTTAAAGACACCCTTTAAATTTCGTTTAAAAGGAATTAGCAAATTTACTTGCACTATAAAGAATAATTTGTTAATCGAGTAGAATTTTTTATCGAGACGATATAAATTCGAATACACGACATTTACCATAGGGAGGTAATGCGTTGGAACGACTCCAGGCGTTCCATCGAGCCCAGGGGTTCTCATTTGCGAAGCAAGCTGGCGATCGTAAGCTTTTGCCATGTACGACGTTTGCGGTTGCATGAACGAGTACGCCAGCCCACCCATAGGCTGTTGCACGGTCGCGTACACCGGATGATGTTTGGGACGATACATCAGAACGGGAGGTCGGTGTTGCGCGTACCCCGAAAGAGATTCGCGGTGCTGCAATCCCTCGGATTGCATTCTTGGTTGCGTTTGCAGCATCGGTTGCGGTTGTTCGTATCCAGGTTGCACCAGAATATCGGCTACGGCACCGCCGGCTACGAGAATAGCCACCGAAAGCTGAAAGAAAATGTCACGCGTAGTGTTTTAGCAAAATTCTGAAACGCCACGCTGAAGGTTCCTTTGCAAGCCAAAGTACGCGGACGATGAGCTTTCGGGCCGTCAATATTTAACATTTTGCACTCGGGAGGCGACTTTGGTTGCCTAATTCAGCGCAGCGTCGTATCAAGGGAAATTACGAAGTTTGAGATTCGAATATTACTCGTAAAACACGAAGATATCGTTGCGGTAAATTAAATCAGTTTTCAAGAATGTGGATAACGAGTACGTGAGTTCAGAGTCACTTGGGACTGTAGAGGGTTGAATTATACGAATGATCGAAGACTCACCAACGTCCACTGCGCCATCATTGTTGTTGTTAATCGTTCAAAATTTCGATCGGAACTGCAATTCGCGACTCTGAGAGTTCGTAAGTTATTGGAAGCGACTGCTGACGCCACTATTTGGCGTAATACGCATCTTTGTCAAGTCAGCGCATATGTGCGTCGATCGAACGAATTCATGGAATCGCTACCTTTGTCAGGTTTTATGCGAGACGCCTCAGCAAAAACTCTAGATTCACGAATTCCTTCGTTTTTATGTCGCGATCGTTGCAACGTAAAATTATTTTCTTATTCGACTCGAAAAATTGCCAAATATTGAGGACTTTCTGAATGGCGTTAGAGTTGGAGTATTGCAGTAACGTTTTTACAGTAATATTCTCAGATAGTTTAGTTTCCAACTTATCTTCTATTTCTTATATTCTGTAGTTTTTATTTCATTAACGAGACGTTTATTTACGACGTTTTGTCGAGACTGAACAGTCTGAAAATGATTTTTTCCGAGGATTTCTTCGTCACGTAAAAGGAGCATTTCGCTTGGTGGTGTTTTATCTTATCTGCGGGACGCGATTCATAGTTTATGACCTTGCCACCAAGAACTGCTTCTGAACAAACTTCCAACGTCGTACGCGGCCAGTCGATAGCTATTTTCCATGGATTTGTGATCCCCACGCCTTCTCGGTGTCGTTTGCACACCGATTCTCGAGGAGTTGGATATCCAGGGGAATGTAAAGCGCCAGATTTTAGAGGGTTCGAAATACAGGGCTCCGCCGTTCCGTTTCAACTTTAATATGTTCGAGTGTTAATGCGACGAGACGGAGTACGGCCGCCATATGGTCGATGCATAATGCCCACTTTCATGTAAATCCTGCTCGTCGTTTTAAGGCTTGGGCGATAAAATCATTTTTAGGAACGCGTGTTTCGGAGAGAAATAATCGTGCAAAGTTTAAATACATGTAATTACAATTAAACGAAACTAATAAATTTGGGACAAATTTAAACAGTGGATTAAAATTACTAGATTGCGTCTTCGAAATGTTTACAGTAACTTTAGTGTCTCTCTGAGTGGTTATAACTACCTGGGAGATGTTACCACCCACGTTGGAAAACACTGTTTAATTATTAGAGATAAATATTAGTTTTTAATAGGGTTCGAGTCCCATGCTGGTTAATTTTGAAATGTGTGCATTAGACTAGCACTTAGGAATAGAAAAATAGACGCGGTTAATTTATTGGCTGCGATTTAAATATTCACGTTCGTGGAGTAGTTCAGTGGAAGAACGCTGGATCAACGTCCGAATCTATCCACCCAGTTTACGTGGCAATCAGGGCATGTCAGCAGGGCCGGTGGCCTCGAAGTGCAACGAACTTGTAAAAACAAGGATTTCGCGCATTCCATACGCGCATACCATTAGTTAGTTTCGCAATATCGCGTATCAGTCGGACAGTAATTCCACCGAATCAGATCGTGTTACGTTGAACACAAGAATTATCATCCAGATTACGACAGAACGGAACAATTGTGGTGTTCACTTGCGTTCTCGATTCGTTTACACGTATGTACGTTTCTATACATCGCGACCACAACGAAATGTTACTCGCGATTCGATTTGATAAACACTGTAGTACCACCCACGCATGGGTGACATGACTTTTCATCAAAATAAATAAAAATAAGTTCTACGACAAATTGTGGGTATTTCAGGGGTTTGAAAATTTCTTTCTGGGGATACGAACGAAACTTATATTTTTTTATACCGAATCTAAGTCCAGCCACAGAATTCTATGTTTCCAATTTTTTACAAAGATTTCTCGTATGCTTTCTATTCCTAGAAGCTTCTTTTAAACATTTTGCAACACAGGATACATATTTCTGTATGTATGTTTTCTGATATACCCCATTGCAAATGATCAGAATCAATCTTTTGGAGGCTGAGGCCTCCAAATTGTGTTTAATTGTATCCTGAATGAAACTTGGAGCCCTTTTGGGTTTCGATAGAGAAGGTCGAGGCTGTAATTGTGATCTCTGGGAATTGTCCAGGTTGCGTATTCGGTACGTGATGCCGGCGGCGCATCTGACGCTGCGCGAGGAGGATGTGGTACGACTAACCTTGGAGTTCCTCCACAGCCGCGACCTTCACATCTCGCAGCTCTCGTTGGAACGAGAGACAGGTGTAATAAACGGTCAGTACAGCGACGATGTCCTATTCCTTCGTCAGCTGATCCTCGACGGACAATGGGACGACGTGCTGGAGTTCATTCAGCCGTTGGAGGCGCTGCCGGATTTCGATATGAGAAAGTTCACCTACTCGATCCTACGTCACAAGTACGTGGAGCTGCTATGCATCAAGTCCGAGGCGAACGTGATCGCTGCCGGGACGAACGGCAGCGTCGACAACGCTGTCGAGGAGGTGGTCAAGGTTCTGAGCGACCTGGAGAAGGTAGCTCCGTCCAAGGAGGAGTACAGTAGTCTGTGTCTGTTGCTGACCCTTCCGCGGCTCACGGATCACCTTCAGTACAAGGACTGGAACCCCAGCAACGCCAGAGTCCAGTGCTTCCGCGAGGTCTATCCCCTGGTGGAGAAGTTTCTGCCAGGGGTCAGGAAGAGCACCGACCCGGGTCAACCGGTCACCTCGGCGAAGAACGACCGGCTGATACAGCTGATCATCAAGGGCATTCTGTACGAGTCCTGCGTGAATTACTGCCAGGCCAAAGCCACCAACTCGAAGGAGAGCGAGCAGGTAACGCTAGATTTTGTAAACCTAAGACACCCGGGTATAAATCATACAACGATGTTTGGCTAGATGCTAATCGGTGGCTTCGGGCTTGCTCGTAACGCGTTTCTAGTCGCCACCTCTAACCGGTTAACTTATCGATCGAAACGCGAGACTGCTTCGCGAGGTATGCTCGTACCAGGAAGGTTGAAGCATCGTCTCACGTGTCTGGTGTTTCTTTTTCTCAGGTGGAGATGAATTTCTCGAGACTGCTGGACGGCTCCGTGGGCTTCAGCGACTCGGACCTGAGCCTGCTTTCCTGGCTGCAAAGCATACCGCCGGAGACCTTCGCCGTGCCGTTCGCCCAACGAACGCTGAACGTGGACGTGGAACGACTGGAGAGACCGTCTCTGGAGACCTCCTGGACGGAGCACATGCTGATCACTCCCATTAAGCCGAAGACGTTCCCGCATAGCGCGATGCCGTTCACCAGGCCACGGTCCGCCGCCGACATGATGTCTCGCAGCTTAGTGCCAGCCTTGGAGGCTGGATTGGGACCTAGAAGCCCCGGACCTAAACATACACCGATACCATCCGCGGCGCTAATGGCGCTGTCCACCGGCGATATAAACCCCATGTCGAGATCGTCTTTCGCTAGCTTTCATCTGACCGGTTTCAAGAACAACAAACTGATGAACACCAGCGTGGACAGGCTGTTCGAGAACGAGGGCGACGTCTTCCTCAGCTCGAGCTACGCCGAGTTCCAGCAGCTGCCCTCCATACAGGAGGCCACCACCAACAGCCAACCAAAGGTGCCGCCTAGGACGAGAGGACAGTCCAAGAGCCCGGATGGTGATTCTAACCAAATACCAGAATGCCCCAGGAAATATTTGCTAGCTCTTAACCCCCTTTGATTGAGGATGGTTCTAACAATGCTTGAAAGTTTCAACAATCAGTGCATTATTTCCCAGGGCATTCAAATAATAACATTCCCCAACGACGACGATTCTAACATCGTGCATGCCCAATTTTTGTTGGCAAAGGTATCAAAGCAGATCCTTCTGCAACCTCTACGCCCGAGCGCAGAGTGGCTGGCAGAGAATCACCGGCGCCATCGACGGCCAGGAGTTCCAGGAGAGACTCCTTGGCGGAGAAACCGACGGGAGTCGCGGCGAAGATCACGGAACCGACCGTGACACCTGCTCGAACCTCCCTGGGCGGCGAGCAGCTCGAGCAGAGCTACAACGGGGACTTGTTCAAGGAGTACCAGAAGCAAAAACAGAGGCTGCAGGAGAAGTTCCAGCAGAGAGAAAGGGAATGGGACGACCTGGTCAGACAATTATCGACCCCGTTACCTGCACAGGTGGTCGATAATAGGCTTCAAGGCGACGGGTAAGCTGCATTAACAATAATCCATTCGTTTATCGACGCGTAGCGGTGTAACGATGATAAATGACGAATCGTACGCGCGACTGACGGTTTTTTAAACGAGGAACCGCCATTGGTAAACGGTCGAGCAAACGACGGGACAAAAGCTTATTGTTCCGCGGCGTTTCGGTGCGCCCTGGTGCTGCTCATCGTCCGGAATACCGGGCGATTATCAACGCCGTGGAATCGCGGAGAAATGGTACACGATGGTTCGAATTAACTTTGGCTCGGTTCCCAGCGAGTTGTGCTCGAACCGACATGATCCAGGCAAAATACATATTGTTTTCCGGCGAGCCGCGTCTCGCGGTTTTGCCGCGGAGCGCAGTCAATCAAACCGACCGGTTGGCTACATTCTCTAACAGATGGCAGCAACGGAATGCCTTTGTCGCGCTTATTATGGCACTAAAGCGCGAGTCGAGAATAACTCGTTCGGTCTAGACAGCAACGTGGCGCCGATCGAAATAGCCACACACGCCGGGAACCGGCGAAAAGAAAGTGGAATTATTTTGACGACTTGACAGTGACCCCGACGCAGTGGCGTAACAGACCAACGCGTTGGACCCCGAATTCCAGGCACTTTTTAACAAACGAAAATACTATCGGTTGATTTCTGGCGGTTCCAATTGGAAAAGTCTTATTATTAACAAAAATATTTTAATTTTTATTTAATCTACCGTACGTAGAAATGTTAGTTTCTTTTTTAAAGTGAAAATTTTACATTATTTTTACTCGATGTTACATGAAATTTAATTTTTTTAATTTTAACACAGATTTGCTGATTACGCCACTGTCCTCGGCGTTCTTTTCGCTCTCATTCGTCGTCGTATCAGAACCATATTTCTTTATTTATTTAACTAGGGGCTTGCCCCTGCAAAGCACTTTGCGCCACGCTAGCCCCGCGAAGATTTTAACGACGCAAACGAATAACAGAGGTGCTTAAAAAAGACAAATATCGCCCGGGAAAAATTGATAAACGTGCAAATATTGGTCAAAATTCATATGATAGCAGATGAATTTTAACTTTAAATAAGATCCTCAATAAAATCATAATTCATTGTGGTTTATCCACTTATCTTCTAATCTTTCGTGTACTTATATTATAAATTTACTTTGTTTTTCACAATTGGAAGGCTTAACGCTTAAGCAAAAATATTCGCCAAAATGCGTAAGATTAAGCAGCATAAAAACAGAGTTCATTTGACAGATAAATAAACACATCTGATAAAAATAACAGGGCAACCGGATTCAAACCTAAACTACTCACGTATTAGTACGTCTCCCGTCGTTACGCTTGGTTTGAGAACGACGTACCAGTACGTCCCTCAGCCGTTTATGTTTAGCTCTCAACTATACTAGTACGTCTCCCGTAGGCTAAGCGTTAACACATTCGCTACCGTCATTCAGTCGAAAAGCTACCTACAAATAAAATGTGTTAAACAGATCGACTAAATTTCCCGAATAATGTCACACATATGTGATACTACAGTTCGTAAAATAGAAAATCACCATCGTTATTTCCAACGTAATTTGATGTTTTATTTGATCTTTAGTTGAATTTCAAAGTAAAAATGAATTGTTTGGTATTAATTTAACTTTTTTAGCAAATGTTACAAGTTGCAACGAGACATCGACTTGAACGTCGATGAAAAATTTCAATGTTAGCCAAACCGTGCGAACAGACGTTTGTTCGTCCCCGATTATTTTTAGGGCTTTGTGTGGGTGGTTCGTTTGAAAGTTACACACCGTATCCGTGGTCTGTTTTCCCACGACCACGTGCATCGACTGTTCCACGGTGGACAAATCAGGAGCGGCGGGAAGTCATCCCTCGTGTGCGTCGCTCGCATACCTTTTTACGTACGAATAAATGGTCCCGGCTGTATCCTCGTAAACGTCGTGTAACTGGCTAAAATTACCAGCTCCCCGAGATGTCAAGTGCAATGTATCTTTTCTGCAACGGCATATCGGTCGCATCCGGCGATAATAACGAAAACTCGACTCGTCAACGTCGCGGACATTTTGTTGGACCAATTCCATTCTGTTCAGCTTCGCGTATTTAACCATCGATCGAGGCTGATTGTTTTCAGCCAATAATAACTTCCTCCAAAACGAATCCTAACAATGGAGAATTGGAACTTCAATTTATTCGAATGTAAATACGATCCGATCGCAATAGCTTGCGTAATTGGTCCGTTCGTATTTATAGGAATATTAAATACTCCCAATTCTCTGCTCTTCCGCTAGCCTTTAGAGAATTAAAACGTTTCTCTGCACAGAACGTGTCTACCTTATTACGTGTCGGAGATCGCGGTTCGTTATCTTTTATCCGGCGTTTTGCAATCGTTCGCGCGGTTTCGTAACCTAAATAACTTTCAATGACGTCGACGTGAAAGAGGCAGTTCGCGTGTTGTACAGGTGCGTCAAAGAAATGAAAGTGGAATTCAAAGGCGGTTCATTGGCATCGACCGTTGACATTGTTCCAAGTCCGGATACCGGATATATAGGAATAGTACGTGCACGATGGTCACGGGGGAAATCGTGACCGTGCAGCCTCGTCATTGGTTGCGTACCATCGACGATTCTCGCTCCATGGTTTCGTTATACATATTTATGGTCTCATTGTCTCATTTACGCACACGAGACACTCGTTACGCTCGTACGAGCGTGCATATTTCTGGTACGACGTCTAGACGTCTGATTTTTTGTATTTCGAAAACTTGTTGTACACCGTCTGCGCGAAGTCAAAGCAAAGATTTGCTCGGGTAAACATCCATTGTCTCGCAAACATTTAAGAAGCGACTTCAGGTAGCTCCGTTTGCACGGTAATCAAATAAAATTCCTTGCAATTTTCGGGTAGAATTATAAATAGCAACAATTTTTTAACATCGATTTTCAACGGTCCAGTATACGTGCAATATTTTAGTTTCAAGTTTGTCCAAGTATCGAGGAGTCTCGTAAGCTACGATGGAGTTTAATTTATCAAAGTTCAGGTTATCGTAGGAGCGACAATGTAGTATTTGCAACGTGACAAACCTGCGGTGGTCGACCTTGTGTATTGCACGTGAATATGCAAACAGTGTCGTGTTACAGAGGCCATCGTGGTCGAGCCATAAACGATGAATCGGTATGATGTTACTGCTGGATGCTGACGTCTGATTGAATTATTGTTCAAACGACCTGGGATTCGTCTCTCGATTGTTTCAGTCGTTTCTTTCCCATAGCATATTAAAACAAGACTCACGTAACCAGAGACGGTCGCAATTTTATTCGAGTAATAGATGCCAACGTTTGGTCCATCGAAAAGTTCTTCAGTTTTATTCGTTCAATTGCATTGTATATTTTAAATTATAATTTAACGAATAACAAATCACAGATTATCCTTTTGAATAATTTCCAAATTTACTTGCAAATGGGAGATGTTCAGAGATGGGATTCAAGCTCCTGTACGCTTCCAGGTTGGCTACCACTGTATTGAAGATCGAGTAATAATTTCCAAGAAATGTTGGTTGTTTGTTATTGCCCTTTTCCTTCTGTTTACGTTTATTACCCAAGCTGACCATGAAGTCCAGTGTCGCAGAGCTGACTCAAAGTTTGTCTTATCTGCGCAATCGTTCGATCAGAAGAAACATTTAATCGCAATATCGAATTTCTGCGAGGTCTCGCTTTGTCTCTTGGGGGACTTCGATTGACTCATCCATTAAGAGGATCGATTCACGTATCCACCGATGGATTAATTGCTACTGCGCGCCTACGCGAAAAGCAAGAAGCGTCTTGTAATTAAGAAAATGATATCACGCACGTGACGTATGGAAAATCGATCCTGTTAATGTCAGGGAAACATTCTGTTAAAAAACGCAGAGAATTAAAGAGGTTGCGAGACGCAGTTACAAGGCTTAACGAGACTTTCTTTCAATACTACACGTTTGTAGACGTACTAACGAGGCTGGTTAGCGTACGCGTTGACGCTTCACGCGAAATTAGTGCGGTCCAAAGGCGTTTCGAGTGGCTGGCACTTCGTTAACCACAAAATATGACGTATTTAGACGTCAAGAAACGTTCGTTTTGTGGTCGTTGAAATAGGAGGCTGCCGGTAGTCCTTGATCCTTCAACAGGTTCAATAAACGAGGTCGTTCCGAATGATTCACTGGGCTCGGGAGTATTTGATTCCATCAGTGTATTCCTCGAAATGGTAACAAACTGCTTCTCGTTCCAAGTAACCGACCATTCATGCTTTTATTTCGCGCCTTTCTTTGCGTCGCGTTTCAAACCGAAGATTACTTCCATCTCGAGAACGGAGACAGTAACATTTGTCACATTCATCGATAGATAAAATTTTTAAAAGTTCACTGATTCATTCGTTCGAGTGGTCGGTTCGAGATTATGGTTGGTTCTCCAACGTTCGCCAACAACCTATCCACCTACTTGCACGTACTGGCAAGTCGTGGCACTTAATTAGCGCGCGTGACCGGCCGAGATCGGTCACAAACGCGGCTTTGTTTGAGATTCGCTCGATTAAGGGGAAATCGCGGAACGAGCGTCTATCTTGAATTACGACGCTTCGTTAGCGTCGAAGAATAGCAGGTGTTGTAAATGTCTTATGTGGAACGGTGCATCGAGAGTAGGTTACTTCGGTTTGGTTCAAGGTGAATCGATTGCAGGTGCCGCTTAAGGCGAGACGAGAATGCTCCATTCTTTCGCAATTGTTTGTTGTCAATTCATGTTTCGCGAAATCACGTTCGATCTATCCTCTTCGGGCTTTCTTTACTTCGAAGTCGCTTTAAGTACATTCGTAAAGCACAATAGAATCGTCGTTCGAAGGGATTTGTTCGAATTAAAAATTAAAATTACTGGAAGACACACAATTTCTTCCGAGGCAGCCATTAACCAAATCACGAAATAATTTCATGAATTAATACATGTAATAAATATCCATACATTCATACCAACGACAATTTATAAGTAGCTTT